CAAAAAGGTCCGGAATTTGTTTAAAATTTTGTCATTTTTGTTGCAATTTCAAATTTTTGAAATTGTTCTAATTTCGTGTAATGGGGGTACTGAAAAAGTACGGAATTTTTCTGTTGGAGGAGGTACTGAATTTCTCAAGAATGTTCTGGAAAAGTACTGTAAAAGTACTTATTTTTGACCAGTCTGTTTTATGTAGTAGACACCCTGAAGTCCAACCCAAGTCTTCTTAGATCCCACTTGAAGGTTTAATATTGAAAAAAACCCTAAATCAAGAATGCTCTGAAAAAATTTGATTTTCAGCTTTTTTAAACTACTTGAATCCATTCAAAACCTTTCATCAAAAATTATTAAAAAGGTCTGTTGTTAGGCGGGATATGCAAACTCCAAACTTTCTTTATTAAAAAACAAATTTCTCTTCCAGTCTTTTATCAATGTGAAGCGGCTTTGCACTAAAAGTTGACAGTGCTGCTTATTAACCCCAGAATAATTGTTTCAACCATCCGGAATCATAACTAGCCATTGTTTTACTACTTTTATTGATTTGTTGAAAGTGTAAAATTATCTCCTCTTATTTGCCTCAAGAAGTATTATTGATCAACAAAGTCCAAGTCAAGGAAATGGTCTCAAAAATTTATATTTTGGTCAAATCATGCCTTTTTTCCACTCTCATGAGCGCTTGCTCATGGAAGGTATTAAAACTGACTTACTCTCTATTCTTTCATTTGAGTACTAATCAGATAAACACTGTCTACAGGTCTGACTAATTGGAAAATAAAATTGTCAGGCAATTTCATCAAGTCAGGGTAATCAGGAAAAAGTCAGGAAGTCTCATGAAACAGACTGGTTTGAAGATGTCAAAACTTGAATTCTAAAAGAAAATCACTGGTGAGCGCAATCAAACTAGGACGCAGCCTTGTCTGGGTTAAGTGCTCTCAGTTCCTTTCTGTTTAGTGAATAGAGAAATAATTTTCAATGAGGAAGGGCAATTTTAGCCAATTTCAAATGATCAATACCTGAAAAAAAAAAGGTTCTTATGTTCCTATCGTTTGCAGTGAGAAAAATGCCGAAAATATCTTTCAGTCTTATGTGCCCGATTTGTCAATGTGAACAGTTAAGGAATTTAGATTCATTTGGGCCGGCAAAACCTGGAAAAGTCAGGGAAATTTATCCTGCTGAGTTCGCAGACATCCTGAATATGACAGAAGCGTTACCACTGTTCTCCAGCCGAAAAAACTGTAAGCAATCCCCAGATTTTCTCTGGGCCTTAGAGTTTCTCATTCACTCTCTTAAATTATAAAGAAAGCTTTTTAAATAATTCCAGAGATCAATGAGCTTAAAAAAAGAGCACCCACCAATAACCAATTTTTATCGAGTTTCATACAAAGACGTTTGCGCACCGAAGAGCAAACATTAATCAATTCCATTCAAACTGAAGCAGGACTTGAATAAACATTTTCATTGATAATAGTTCTGTTGTGATTTTTTCGGTTTTTTTTTTTTTTTTTTTTTTTTTTTTTTTTTTTTTTTTGTTTCTTGTTTTTATCACTATTGCGGAAGTCCTCTCTCCCAACAGGAATTAGGTATGTACCTATTTACTTTCCTTTTTTCCTTTGCTAATTTGTTTGCTCTTCAGTTAGCCGCTTTAATTTTATTTATCCTAATGTGTTGTGTAAGAAGTTTCTAGTTTAAGTTTCCAAATTCAAGAGTAAAACTACGAAACTGCTTACCTTAGTTTCGAAAGTTGTAGATTTTCTCACTTATTTTACCTTCTCAAAAAATTGTCCAATTATTCAGAATTTCTACCAGTTTTACCTCAGAAACTCGGAAAAAGTATGGAATCTTCTAAAATCCAAAGGAAGTTTTGAATCGTTGCCAAAGTTCGACGCAATAATTCGGAAAAGAACTGACACCCTCCTAATCATCACAACAAATGCTCAACATTTTTTTGTCATTTTCCTCAATTATTTTTCAAAAAAAATTTCCTAAAAGTTCGTCTTAAAGTTTTATCTGTAGTCTCCCAAGGAAAGAAAGTACGAGTAGAAATTTTTAAACATCATTATGGAAATAAGTATCGTCATAGTTAAATGGTCAGAATATCGGCACAGGAAAAGGAGACTTCAGCACAGCGTTCAAGACCAAATTTGATTGAAGTATACTACTGCTCAGAGAGGTTAATTTCGCACCACTTGCTGTAAACAACTCCCACAAATTTAAAAGAAATTGACTATTCCAGAGCATTACAGAGCTTGAGGTCTAAAAATCGCTCTTTCGATAAAACTGTCCTTTTCAAATTTTTTTAACGTTGCTAATAATGCATATTTTGACTTAAAGTTTTTGACGTATCATCATGGAGAGTAGGTATTAGACATTGATTTTCATCAAAAACGGTTAAGTAATACATAGTTTTGACCCAAAATGCATTTTTCACTCCTCTGGGAAACGTGGTCACTCTCCTATGCCCGGTCACATCTATGCACCTTGCATGTATCCATCGCCTCTATTTTTCAACTGCATGGATGTACTTGGAATTAGCTTAACTACGTCAGAAATTGCCTGATTCCCTATCATGTTTCATTTTTACCATGGAAAACTTAAAACTTGGTGAGTATATTCTTTATAAACCAGGGGGAAAGAAAGCACAGAAAGTTACCAAGCGTATTATTTTGTGCTCTGTAAAAAAAAGGATTTAAGAGGAAATTTGGGTATGAGAAATCTAGTTTAGGGCTGATCCCGGTTTAATCAGCTAATTAAATCAAGTAAAATAATCAGCTTCTTGGAAAACGTCCTACGTCTAAGATGCTCCTAAGCTTCCCAGAGTACAATCTGTTTACTTGAGGGAAAAACAATTAGTCCTTTTTGGCAGAGCTGAAAGTTATTCTGGCCATTAAATGGCGCTCCGCTGGGATGACTGAAATTCTTCTTTGGCAATTTTGAGTTCTGTTAATGATGCATGACTTGAGAGATGCTCTGTATGTGTGTGGAAGAGAAAAATTCCACTCAGGCTTTTAACCTTTCTATTGTGGATTTGAATTCCCATTCCATGGTCAAATGACTGCAATCCATTTCATCCCAAATCTGTCTCAATGTTTGTTACTGTTGATAATGAGGTTGTGATCATTGCAAGTTACTGTCTAAATCTGCCAGCGGGCTAATGGTTGAAATTGATAGACAAAGCAATGGACAAAGAAGACAAAGGGAGTATGGAGTGATCTTATTGTTTGAAATGGGTGGTTTTTATAGACAGTGGGGGTAAATTATGGACTAACTATAAGGTCTCTCGTGGGTTGACGATAGTTAGTTTATTACCTACCTCCTATGTCCATTGCAACCACCTGCTTCCGCCAATTGGATCCCTCCATATCTCTTTTGTCCTCTTTGTCTATAGCTTTGTCTATCAATATCAACAATCGGCCTACAGTTAGGGACATAGTTTAATGATGGCACCTTTTTACAGAGGGAACAAAGAAACAACAGTTGAAGTCAACTGTTGAATTGTACCACTTCTTGGAGAATTCCTTGTTTCAATTTCAATTTTCAATGTTTTAATATGAGCAGTTCTCTCTCTTTCTTTTTCTCGCTTTCCTATCCTAGAGTTAATTTGGAATGCTCTGTATCAAAATCTGTTATGTCCTTTGAGGTTTGAAGCTTATCCTTGTACTAAAATTTGGTGCTGTAGGAAAATAGCTGTATTGCATTTTTTCTATTTATTCACGCTCGTTTATTGTATATGAAGAAAATCTTCCCTGAAACATCCCCCTTTAAAGAACTGTTAAACAAGGAAATTACGAAATTAAACAAGACGAAAATCTCTAAACTTAAAAAACTCAATTTTATCTTGCTTTTTCCTTTTATATCGGTACTATATTTCAGATGGTCCATCGCCCCTCTGAAATGACTTACAGATAAAGAAATAAGTAAGGAAAGTTACAGTTTTATAAGTTTAGCGATTCCCTTATTAATACGAATACTCTCCTTAGTTTCATACCAAAACGTTTTAATCGTTTTCACCTGAATTTATCCGAGAGCAGTGCTTGGAAAGCAGTATTGTCATTTTTCATAAACAAGGGGTTTTAGAAGACTGTCGTTTTTGTGAAGTGCTACTCCACTATCATAATGATCTGTATGGATCAAACACGAAATGATAAAAGAGTAAAAAGGCAAGCCCCTACATCTTTAGAACCTATAAGTACCTAATCGAATCTATTAATATTAGTCTCTTGACTATCCGATTTTCCTTCTCCTGGCTGGAAGAAAAACTTTTATGGAAAGTATAGTGCTGCCATCTATATTTGCGCTCAAGTCTTTTAAGATCCCATCATCAGGATTAAAATTGAGCACTAGTCCCCTGAGAAATTCCTATTTTTGGCTGTTGCAAGTTATTTAAAATTATCTTGAACCACTCAATCAGCAAATCTGGAACAGTCTACTTCAGATCTATTTATCAGATTCATTTTTATGTATCCGTGACACCCATGAAGAGGACGTTTTGCCAAAGGACAAACTATCTTTTCCTTAAAGAGCACTCGTCTGTTAGAAAAGGAATACAACATCTGTAGACCCAGTAAAGAGTCTCATTTCGGTCCTTATTGTAACCCTTTTTTCAGTGCTCTTTTAATATATCGACAGCGTAAGTCCGCAATCACGAATGTCATTTGCGGTGTCTGAAAATCTCCGCCTCTATGTTATTTTTTTAAAGGAGAACAAATTGACATCATTCCTTGAAGTTTATGCAGAATTTTCTTCGCACAGAGAAAAAAAATCACGGCAGTTTTAAAGAATTGCCGCTGGAGAAGTTTTCCGTTTAAAAATTAAAGTTTGACAGGAAGTCTGCAATTTCGCAAACCGAGTTATGTGATTGCTGACTTACACCGTTGATATCCATGAAATATTTTCGTTTGAATTTTTCTCGGCTGTTTTTTTTTAACATTTCTTTTATTTAAAGTTATTAGAGGTATTTAATTCATTTTTTAACATTTGTTTCTTTTAATCTCCTTTTTCAGCACCTCTGAAAAGCAGATAAAAATTGAGGATCAGCTGTTCTCTGCCTTTGTCATGCTAGACCCTCTACCAGATATGTGCGGGCCTGATAATGTGGTCTATATTTCGAGTGACGACTCGAGTGACGAAGAAGCCAAAACTGTCAGCCAATTTTACTGTACTCAGTGCAAAAAATCTTATCGTTCTGCAAAAACCCTGAATGCCCACTCGAAAAGATTTCATGAGAGAAGATGGTCTGAGCAGAAAAGGACATTCATTCCAATCTATGACACTTCATCCATTAAAGTAAAAAAATCCTTGAACAATAATGAAAATCAACCTCAAAACCCAACAACATCTACTGAGCGGCACAGTTTTTACTGCACTCCATGTCACCAGCAGTTTGCCAGTGAAGTTATCTTACAGCGCCATATGCGGTTGCATGTAAACAACCGGAGGAGTTCACGAAAAGGGGAGCATGAGATGTTCCGATGCCTAATATGTTTTGACTTATATGACACGGGTGAATCTCTTAGAATGCACTATTCGAAATGCCATCCCTTAGAGAATCCAAGCTAATATAGAAACTTCACCAGCATTTGAATTTGTTTGATAGATTGACTCATATTGTGAAGCTTACCTCTACAGAAAATTACACTAGGATGAATTTATACAGACAAAGTTTACTCTCCCAGGACTTTCATCACTTCTTTTGTGTAAATATGCTCAATTTGCATCTACATTTGTTTTTTCTTCTTTAAGCGCACAAATGACTACATTTTTACCCTCTGGAGATTTTATCTGTGTTTGTGAAACATCGAGGCCCAAATTTCGTTTTTTTTACCAACAAGCAAATTTACTTTAAACTCCACGTAAATAATCTTCCAAATTCAAGCTGTTTGCGGAGGGCACAGTTTTTTATTTTATTTATTTTTTCAAATGTATATACTTTTTTAATGGCAAGCTAGACTCTTCCACAAACATTCAGTGGTGTCAACCATTTGGCAAATCCAGGGTAAATAATTCTGTACATATATTGGCACAACTTTGATTTATGATTAACTATGAGTTTAATTACAATTATTAAATCAATCCGTAAAATGTTTTTGGCTGTATGTAGTTTTGACCTCATTTTTTAGCTTATAAGCCTCAAAAAATTATATATTCTTGGGGCATGGAGCTGCAAACTGTTGCTCTGTCTTTTTGGAATAACTGAAGAAAACTCACTATTAGTTGTGTATCAAAGTAGTGGCGATGCACAGGACTGTCAACCCTGGATTCATCTTAGTCAAATAACTCAGGTAAACATCTTGCACCGTATGTAAATGGAAGGTAACCACTCCCAAAATTTGAGCCTTTACCTTGATTTTCAAGGTTCGCTCTCAATGATATGTTGATTTTTGTGCTATTTTGTTCTAAAAAATGAGGCCTTGACTTAAGATATTTTGTTATGTCTGCTGTTTCCAATTTAAATTTTTACGACGTCTGCATTACAGCAGCTATTTTCAATGTCAGTTACAGATGTTTGATTTCCTATTGTAATGATTGTTGAGTTCATTTAAATCTACAAACTTTTAATTTATCAATTTGCGTGCTAACTTCAAAAATAATCAAAGTGTGAAGATACTTTTTTTTTAGCATTCTGATTTTGTACATCACCAAATATTTTTAAGCAAATGTTTTCAATTAAACTTTTATAAATCTTCTTTACATGTGTTAAAACTTTAGTATCATTTCAAATATTGTAGACATTTATGACTCTTTTTACTTGAGATCATGAAATTAGGGTGTCTACAGATCTGGGAAACCCGGAATCCTCAGTGAATTCCATCAGGTTGGAGAAATTAGGGAAAAGTTAGGGATTTTAATGAAGAAGGTTGGAAATCCAAAAAATCTTGAAGCTTTAAAGCTAAGAAAACATCAAAGCTATCCACATAACCAAACTGAGTATCAGTTTGACGCGGTTCAATCTTCTGAATTACACTCTGAACGGCGAACAGAAGAATGAGTTTCAATGAGAAATTGCAATTATAGTTAATGAGTCAGTTGCGCTAGTCATCGAATCGTGTTTTGATGCTTGATTATCATACATAGGCTAAAAATAATATGATCTGTCCAAACAGCAACTTTCCACATTCAATAATAACCGAGATATCGCCCTTTGTAAAGTCGGGTTTTTGATGTCATCCATCCCGTTAGTGACACCCTTGGTTTCTTCAACCTTGCTTTAATCAATCAGCGTGACACACATTTGCACTAGTCATTCAACGTGAAACTCGGATGAAAGCAAGGTGGAAGAAACCAAGGGTGTCACTACCGTGATGGATGACGTCAAAAACTGGACTTTTCAAAGGGCGATATCTCGGTCAATATTGAACGTAGAAAGTTGCTGTTTGGGAAGATCTTATTCTTTTTAGTTAATCTACGAGAATCAAGCATCTCAAAACGATTCTGTGACTAGCGCAACTTACTCATTGAATAATCAACACCTGAAAAAAAAAGGTTCGCACGTTTCTGCCGTTTGCCTTGAAATTGAAGCTAAAAATTTTTCATTTTCAGGCACACATGGAAATTTCTGATATATAGTCAGGGAATTTTGATTATTTTGGGGAGAGAAAACCTGGGAAAGTTGGGGAAATTTTTGCTGCTTGGTCTGTAGACACCCTGAATTAGTTTGAATTGTATGGATTCTACAGTGAATTTGATGAAGGTTTTGAGGTATTTTCTCTACTGGGATTTTAGTTAGTCAGCTTTTTAGCTCTAAGTAATTTACTGCACATTTCCATTTGAAATTAAGTGGAAGAATAGCCAAGTTATGATGTTACCGAGAGTGTACATCTCTCTATATGTTTGGTTCCTTTTTCTTGTGTTTCTTGGTGAAAGTAAGGAAGCTGTGATACAAATACTAATAATTAATCTCAAGCTATTATTCATCAAATTACGTACCTGAGAGTAATTTTTTTTCTTTCTTTTTTTTTCGAATTATTAAATTTCCTCTGACTTGTTGGTAAGAAAAATTTATCAAGTGCTCCAAAAATGAATTGTGTTAAAAGAACTAATTTTTTGTCTATCCACCGTATTTTAAACTTATTTCTAATTCAAAGAGTTAAATCTGGAGTTAACTCCTTATCAAAAATAAAGATGAAAACTTAAAAACGTAAAAAAAAACAAATGAAAATTATAGATTCATAAAAAAAAGTTAAAAAGAATGATAGGTAATTATTGCAATAAGGTAGTTGAGTTCATTTTTATCGTAGCTGATAAAAAATGAAAAAGTATGCTTATTATTGAATTGCGTTGATCAAGTTCAACTTTCTTATAATCGATGCAAAAAATGTGTGGACATGGATAAAACTGCGTTTTTTTTCTACTCTTTTGACTGCATGTATTCTTCATTTAAGTGCTTCCTTCACTAATAAATCATTTGATAGGCAGATCGACAAAATATGTTTTTTTGATAACAGAACTGTAATTTAAATGATTTTTTAAAAGATTGTGGAAGCCTTGTCAAATTTTCCAGTTATTTATTTGATTAAGACTAATGTTTTTACTCTCATGTACCATGAATTTTTGCCTACCTAGTTTTAATTATACTGAAATTTGTCCCCAAATCCGGGCCAAAATCTTGTCAGAAACCAGGAAACCACTCAATTAAAGACTTAGGTGCGACAAAGGCTTTTCTCAGTTTCAGTATTTCAGAATAGAGCAAAAAGAAAAAAAAATTTATAGTTGAGTGATGGAAAAATTCAATATTTTTCATAATTTGAGAATATTTTCAGCATTTTACTTTTCAGAAATTAACCGATCCAGTAGTTCCCTCAAAAAAAAAAAAGAGAGAAATTGTTGGTGGCAATTCTGAAAGACTCTTTGAGAAAAGTGCTCTCTTCTCGCCCAAATAACCCTCAATTTTATTCTAGCAGAGTCTCAACTCCAGTGAAGTCTATACCAGCAATGCTAGTTAGTCAAGGATGTTGGACTGTTATTCATGAAATTATTTAGGCCCCTGCATGTATGAGACTGACTCCTATTTTCCAAAATACTGCCCAAAATTCATGTCGTATATAACTTGTGTAGATATTATTAATTATTAATGTGTGTTCCTCATAAGTGGAGCTCTCTATGTTTAAACCTTGTTTTCATTATTACTTTAATTTTTACTTCTTACATAATTTTTTACATTCTAATTTGTTCATTTTACTTTTAATTTTTTTGTTAGGCCTCTTAGAACTTGTGTCGGATAAATTGGTTGCTATGCACTTTCCGTTCGCAAACAACTATGGAAACCGTTTGCTACTGGATACTGCCGCCCAGTAGCAATTGAGAATTGGACTTCATTTTGTAATTAGAAACTACAATTTCAGGCTCATCTGTAAAAACACCTATGTGTACAAGGAAACTAATGGTCCATATGTTGTTTCTAAACTTAGCCAGAAATTGTAGTTCCTAATTGCAAAATATAGTCCAATTAACACACAGCAATAATGTTGCTGTGTTGCCATTGTACCCATGTACCTTTACCCAGGGATTTTACTAAAACTGTTTACTGCACATCAAAGTCAAAAGTAAACAACTGCCAACTTATCTGATGCAAGTTTATACCTCATACTTTACTACTTACCTCATACTGTACATATGTCTGTTGAAATTTCTAAAGAAGAACTTTTTTATGTTTTTAAAATTTTATTTGATAAGTAGCAGTGATATTTTGTTTTTTTCAGATCAAACAAACAACTTAGTCTATTGATAATAATATTTTAGCCCTATAGTATTATGTCGTCTGCTTGAGGGTTGCTCATAATATTACGCATTGGAAGCAAGGGGGTTAAGTATCTTCATTTGTACAAAATGAAGTTTCAAGAATTTTGTTATATTTTGGAAAGTAAGATATTTCGATTCAAACTTTATAGAATGAAATAAAGTTGGGGGGTATGTTGCATAATTCCTTCGAGTGCGGAAATCGAATGAAGGTAAAGTAAAACCATTGGAAAGAGAGTTATGTAATTCATGAAGCATCCCTTAACGTTGAATGGACATCTAGAGATATGCCTCCCTACTAACGTTAGCCATCAGGATTAAAAACAATAGTCTGACGATAATTTAGATAAAGAAGTTAGCATTTGAATATCCTCTGTAAAGTGAATGGGAAGTTTTTTTTTTCCTCTCCAAGAATACCTGATTAAAATTATCAGGGACAGAATAACTACCTAAGTTGCTGAAACTTTGTAGTGTTTAAATCAAATGCCGCAATATCCTTCAACTGACAGGTTTAGTGAATACTCTTCTTAACTAAACGGCCCAGCTATCACCCAAGAGAAAATAATCGACAAAATGGATATGAAATTTATTTCGTTAATAGGGTTCAGAAGAATTGTTGAAAGTCACATTCAAGAGAAAAACTTGTGTATTCCAATGATGCACATTTTCAAGATGAAAACTTACTTTTCCTTCAAAACGTTTGCAATATGTTCAATTTGCGATTGATTAATGTTTGTGGGATTTACTAATTATTTAAGAATGTAATAGATGAAGAAGTCTTGGTGCCCCTATGAATGACCTCTTTATTCTCAGTTGCGATGGCTGTACAGCCCAGATCAATGCAACAAATGTGCATAGCTGTTCAAGTCTTGAGTTATCGGCCGTACATCTTGAAAGAATAAGTAGCATAGCTAGGTTACTATGTTTTGAGAAGTTTACATGCCATGTTTAAGAAGTGTTAGTATGTTTGATGAAATAATTCATGCAGCTCTATTCCAACCACTTTGCAATGATTCTTCTCCTCTTTTCTAATCTAAAGTATTGAGTAATTTTTGTTTTAAGCAGTATATTTTTAATAGTAAGTTACCTGGAGTTCCTAAGAGATGAAATTTAAAATCTCAGGGCATGCAGTTTCAGATATGTAACGATTTTTATATGATCCTTCATCTTGCTCAAAGATTGTATTCTTACAAAACTGCGAAAGCAATCTACTTTGAAATATAAAAGTTTTTTCTGTTTAATTTACATGTTTTTCTAAGTTAACTTTTTCACCTCTATCACCAGGATCAATGGATTCAAGTTAAAGTTTCTTCTAAAATGTGTATCTTGCTACGATTTTTACTGAATCTGGATATCATCGTTGCACTGATCATAGAATTGTGCAGCCCACGTAATTTTCATAATCATCGATGTCATCAAAATTTTACAGTTATCAGTCCGTACAAGCTATTTCAAATTTGATAAAAAAGAAACGCAAAATATTGCAAATAAGTTTGTTGAGAAGTTTTTGAGGCAGATTCAGCTGCAGACTCATGAAAAATTGCAGCATGTGATATGCACCTTTGGCATTTGCACTACATCTTAGATCGCGTAAATTTTGCTAGTATTAAGTATTTCTTAATATGTTGATAATTTTTTTCAAGTGAAAGGTGTTTCACTCAGGTAATCTTTTTGTTTAGTTTTTGAGTTACAATTTCCCATCTTAGGGTTTGGTTTTCTTCTCTGGTAAAAAGTGGTAAATTACGAGAGAGTGCATTCAAAAGGTCTCCTAAAAGAAGGTATTGGAACTTATTGATAAGTGTTTTTATCTCTTGGAGCGTTTCTCTCGTTACCTTGCAAAAAGCAGCCTTGTTCCAAGAATTAGGTTTTAACCAAAGTTTGGTGTTTCTCGTCTTTTTTTATGGTTCCAGTCGTTGCAAAGTTCAGTTTTTGAGTTCTAGGATTCCTAGTCATAGTTTTTGGATGGGACTTGATTAGGACTGTAGCAAGGAGTCAACCAATGAGTTATGACCAAAACTATTTAGTTTGTAAAGTGGATCTTCGGTTCACGTTTATTTTTATTGATTGCTGTGTGAGTACTTCGTTTGATCTTCCGAAATCTCGAATCAGTGTTTCTTTTTATGGTAAACCTTAGTCTCTTCTCCCACTCCCCAGCTCCTCTCATCCGAGTATTTTTCTTTCTCTGGAGTTTTGTGTTTGTTTGTGATTGTTTGTAATTTATTTTTATCGCAGGCTTCAGTTTTCAAATCAGAGCACAATCCTTATTGAAGGGTGGGAGGGCAGATTTTTTTCTTCCCTGAATAAAGTGGAATGTGGGAGATCTCTAGCTGTTCACCTACCCCTAATCATCGAGTACGGAATTGGAAATTGAACAAACTATAGGGACAGAATCTTTGAACAGAGTTGGCCGGTGTCCATTTTAATGTGAGCCGTCGCTGCACCAGCCAACGGCCATTTTCTTCCTTCTAATTCCTACCACCAACTTATTATTTCTGTTATTTTTACCCCCTACTCCCATCGTAAAGCGTATTCTTCAAGTCGGGTACGTATTATTTGTTTTCATGGTAGCTAGTGTTGTTGAAGTTTTTCGCTTTCGTCCCTCACAAATCTCCTGCCTGAGGCTTCATTCCCCATAGCTTATACAGACAATGCCTCTTCTGCCCTTTCATGTTTCCTACGCTCAATCCGACCCTTCGATTTTCTTTTTCAGCATCGTCCCAGCAGGGGAAGGATCCACGCTCTCCGATCTGAAGAACAGAATCGAGGTGATCCTTGACTCGTGCTCTTCCTCACGCCCGTGCCTCAAAGGACAACGAAGAACCTTCCAGTGCTACAAATGCAAACTGGAATTCGAGAGGGGTCCTGCACTCGTCCAGCACTGGCTTGGCCACCTGAAGGGAAAATTGAAGCGACTCTACAACCCTCAGGTCCAGAAAATCCGGAAATTCCAATGCGAACGCTGCCTATTCCAATTCAACCTCAAGTCCCAGCTCAAGACACACATCACGACCGTCTGTTTCAAGGACCTTTACACGGCGACCTTCAAGTGCAACTCGTGTTACGAACGGTTCGCCTCCGGAAAGGCGCTCGAGGCCCACCGCCAAACGCACTTCAAGCAGTACACCTGCACGTTCTGCGAGGAGCGTTGCAGCAGCTCGCACAACCTCCGGCGACACCTGCGGGTCCACTCGGAGCTGCGGCCGATGAAGTGCCCGCACTGCGACGCCACCTTCAAGAGCAAGCAGATCCTCGACGTCCACCGCGCGACCCACGACGAGGAGCGACCCCACGCGTGCGGCCTCTGCGGCGCGCGGTTCCGCCAGAAGCCCTGCCTCCGCGCGCACATGGTCAAGCACACGGACGTGCGCGCCTACGCCTGCGGGGTGTGCGCGAACAAGTTCAAGGATCGCAAGACTCTGCGCCAACACATGCACAAGCACTCCAGCCTCAAGCCGTACCGCTGCGAGCTGTGCGAGGCTGCGTTCAAGAGGCGGGACCACCTGAGGAACCACGAGCTGACGCACCTTGAGGACAGGCCGTTCAAGTGCCATCTCTGTCCCTCCTATTCTGCGTGTCAGAAGAGCGTTTTCAAACGGCATTTGAGGCTCCAGCACGGGGTGTTCGACTGATCTTTTGGGGGGATTGCCATCTCTGCCCCTCCTATTCTGCATGTCAGAGAAGCGTTTTCAAACGGCATCCCAAGTAGCACGGATTGCAATAAGTAGCAATTACCCTGTAAAAATATTGCAATTCCACTGAGTGTTGTGAATGTTGCCTAGCTCCTACTTAAAGGGGCTCTATTTATTGAAACCTATTGCAGTAAAATTGAAATAAGTTGCAATTTCTCATTGCATTGCATAATGGCTATCTCTTTGACACATATGGAGCTGATTTTGTTGATCGTTTAAAATCGGCATAAATTGACTAAATGGTGTAAAAATATTGTAATTCAATGGTAAAAAAATTAAAATTTTATTAAAATCAAATTGCAATTTAATTTCAATATTTTCGTTGCACTGTGCCACTTGGGATTCGAGGCTCCAGCACAGGGCGTTCGACTGATCCTTCGGGGAGCTAGATTGCCATCTCTGCCCCTCCTATTCTTTGTGTTACAGAAGCATTCTCTATCGGCATTTGAGGCTTCAGCACAGGGTGTTCGACTGTCCCTACGGGGAGATTGACTGTGTAGGCTTTGGCGGTGTTTATTTTCATGAATTATCGCTCGTGTTGTGCCAGCTTTATTTTATGAACTTGTAACCTGATTTTGTCTGTAACTTCAAGCAAATGGAGCAAGCCTTTTCGTGGGTTAACAATTTTCTTAGGCGTTCAAGTAACCAAAACAAGAATAGGTATGATTTTTCTTGCTACATGACAGTAAAAGGTTACTGTCAGGACAGTCTCTCACAATTCTATCAGGCTCCTCTATTTTCCGTAGAATATCGTTCTTTTCTCTCTCTCTCTCCTTTGTTTTGTCTCTTGAGCTTTCTTTCTCAGCTCTCAAACGCATTCAGTCACATAGATGGAGTACTGTGGGCGAATGGACTCTTTTAAATCGGGAGTATTGTTATGAAAGCTTTCGTGGTGTCTCCGCCGAAAAAATTATGACCCATGAATAGGTAGGTACTGCTTTTCAGAATTTGAAAAATTCCACAATTTTTTTGGAGGAGGCAAAGCAATAGCTTGCGTAAAAAAAAGGAGGCCACTTTCATATCCCCCTGCTAGGCTAATAAATCTACAGTAAGTAAGTATATAGGCACTTCAACCGACTACTTCACCAGTCTACTGTGGTCTCAGGAGGCATAAATAACTATACTGCAACTATAGGGTTGCCTCTAGGGAGAGGCGTAAGAACAAATAATCTAGATGAACAAACAATCTCGCAAAATGTTTCCTACATAGGACTTCAAGTGTTTTCAAGCGAAAGATTTTATCTCCGTGGTTCTTTGTGTTTTAAACACATATATTGCCTCAAATCAATGAAACTCCTAAGTCATGAGATATATATGTGCATGTGCAAGTTGGCAGGACTAATCTGCCGTGCTAAGAAAGAATGCTGTATGAACATTCGAGAGTTCCTTATAGTAGCATAACCATAGAAGGAAAAGATAAAGATTATATACGAAAGTTAATTTTTTTTATATAATGCATGCATATGAAAGTGTTAAAAGTGAACATTTTCATGTAACCATTATATAAAGAAGGTCTTAATTTTCGTGAGCTTTTCGCAAACAAACTAAAAAATCTTCCAATTCGCAAAAAGCTCACGAAAATTATGACCTTTTTTTTATATAAAAGTTACATAAAAATGTTCACTTTTAACACTTTCGTATGCATGCATTATATAAAAAAATAAAAAAATTGTCTATAAAAAAAAATTACTGTATCTAGCTTTTATCATTTTTCATATATTATGGTCAGGTCTGAACTTTGATTTTTTTTTAATATAAGCATTACACGTTTTTCATATGAAACTACCATTTAGATGACAGATATGTTCTTTTTACACTTTTTTTTAGAAAAACCAAAATTTGCTCTGCTACTAGGGTTACCAAATTTCCTCTGATAAAATGTTTATTTTTGAGGAACGCTATGAATATTTTTTTATTTAAATTTTTAGGGACTTTTGGTGAAATTGTGAAAAAAAATTTCTGAAAAATTGGAGGGAAAATATCCACAAGTTTACCATGCAGGAAATTCGTATTTTATTAAAGGAAATTTGGCCACCTAAAGGATCATACGACGTTTTTTCCTAGCACGGCAGTATTTTTGCACTATATTCTAAAAAGAATGGACATGTAGGAACCAAAAAGAAAAAGCTCACTTTATCCAGGTAGGTACTCTACTTAGGTTTTTGTGCACCTCTCTTTGGGCAAACAAGATTGATTTCACAAGGAAACGTGCATCAGTTGACTGTCTCTCTTACTATTGTATGCATTATGTGCTCCCATTCATACTAACATCCTCAATAATTGCTTCATTTTTCACGTATTTATATCTCTCTCTTTTTCTCTTTTTTTTATTTCCAGGGAAAGTCTTTCACCAAACTCCACTTTAAGTTTAGGACGAGGAATCAGCCGTGGTGCCAGGAAATTTCTCGGTCACTTCAATGAGAGGGGACACAATAGGGAATTTGTATGTTATAAATGTGGACTAACTTTCGAGGAAAAATCAGAATTCCTGGCACACTGGATGGAGCATGTCCGTAACAACCTTGAAATAGGCTTAAAGAAAGAGGAAGCGCGTGTACATAAATGTGATTTATGCAGGAAGACATTTACGCGGAAATCTAGTCTAAAGAAGCATCTTTGTGAGTTTTGTGACCGACCGGCAGGAACTTTGAAAAAAACCTCCACGAAAACAGAACTTCATGAGTCGAAGTTATTCCGTTGTACATTTTGTGATTCTAGTTTCACTCATCAAAGCTCTTTGGAAAGGCATTTGGTAATTCATTCAGATTTGAAACCTTTTAAGTGTCAAATATGCGGCCTCTCATTCAAAATAAAAGGGAATCTGTCAACACATCAGCGCCGAACCCATTCTGATTTAAGTCTATTCAAATGCAATGAATGTTCATTTGCAACAAAGCATCCAGGCAACCTCATAATACATCAAGAAACAATTCATTCTGGTGCCAACCCGTATAAGTGTAATTTGTGCAGCGCATCTTTCAAGTCGAAACATAAATTAGGAAAGCATCAAAAGTCAGTTCACTCTAGTATCGCTCGTTTCAATTGTAATCTATGCGATGCGTCTTTCGCATTCAAACATGGATTACGAACGCATCAAGATTCAATTCACTCTGGCCTCAGGCCATTTAAGTGTAATTTTTGTGATGCATCTTTCAAACGAAAGTATGTATTGCAAACTCATGAGGCGTCAGTCCATTCCAACCTCAGGCCATTTCATTGTAATTTGTGCGATGCATCATTCAAGCTTAAGCATACGCTCAATGCTCACAAACGCACGCACACCAATGCAACACCTTATTCATGTGACTTTTGTGATTATACCTCTAGGTTCAGCAACAGCCTGAACATCCACGTAATGAGACATCATAAATTGGCCTAAAAAGAATCTTTTCCTTTTTTTCTGTTGAAAAGATCGTATTATAAGTACTTTACTGTTTTACGTTCTTAAACTCATATCGGCAGTGAAACTACCCACCCACAGGTTTCCATTCCCTACAGCCAGAAGAGTACCGGAGAGAACCGTATATTGACTAGGCATTTCGTCATCGATATTTCTTCCTTTTCCCTTCTTTTTTCCACTATTTTCTGAAGAGATAGTTATTTTTTGCCGCAGATCCGTATTTTGTTGCATGTCAATGTAACAATGTAGAAAGCCACGGATTTTTTCCCCAAATTTCTCACTTATTTTTCAATATCAGACCCGAAGTTATACTTTGATGAACTTATAATTTACTTATGTATTATATACTATACGTTAGGTACTTATAATTTCGAACAGAGAATAAAAACTCATTCCCCCAGTTTGCGTTTCGTTTTTTCTACGTCAATTTTCCAATAAGCCCCATCTCATCAAATTGCCATTTAATACCATTCATCATGTTCCCCTTCCCCCAACTAAAAGACATCTCGTTTTTTTTTTTTTTTTGTAATATAAATGATTCTACATAAAAATTAATGTAATGTTTGTGCAAAGGTTTTTACTTACAAAGGTGAACTCGCAACAGCAGAATCCGTTTTTTTTTCATTTAATGAGGAATGGAAATTCATGTATTGATACGCCCCAGTGCGTGCACGATTGAGCACAGGGGAGAATGAGCCACTGTCGGCGAGGTTAGCCCAGGCGCGTCTTTTTAAAATTGGCGCCGTAATTTCGAATTTAGGGCCGTTGCCACCAAAACGCCGCACCGCTTTTATGAGCCGAGAAGCAACACTCAACAGTATTTACGGCATTGTTTACGATCGTGTCTGCGATTTTGTTCAATGTGTACCGGCTTCTTTTTTCCAGTTTTATTTGGAATTCTTCCGTCAAGTGATGTGTTAACCTTTTAGTTTTTATTTCTGAGCTGTATTAAAATCACAGCACAATGACAGAAGACAAACCGGATAAGGACAAGACCGAGAAAACGGAAGTGGTAAGAACCTAACCTCTAGCTCTCATGACTTATCTGTCTCTCAATTCAATAATTATTTTTCTTCGTTTGACGTAGTTACTGCCACAGAATCACAGAGTTTTCATCGAAGTGATTCTGTGTGGATACCGAAATTTCTGATTTCCACCCAAGGCTGATTCTGCGCAGCACTCTTGTGTTACTTTCAAACATTGGAGACCATCGGTTTCCGCTGTGAAGGCTCATCTATACAGCCTGCAAAGCCACTGGGCAAGCCTCATTTCAAATATGTCATTATTTGCCACTTACAGCGAGCGCTGATTACGCAGGTCTAAGCAGGCTTGGTAGGCCGTGTGAATGGCCCGTAACGCATTTGCCTCATTGACGAGTATACTCGTCAGCATGCTCGAGGGACGTATCTCAGTTGATGAGTTAATTGGCAGCATCTATTGGCGTTGCTATGCAATTGCTTTGGTCATATTTTTTCGCCTTTCCGATAGATGGCATCTCAAGCGTCGCAACGCTGACTGATAGTGCCAGTTAACTTGTCAGTAAACTCGTCATGTAAGGCGAATAGGTGAATAATTCTTAGCAAGTCAGCAAAATGGGAACTTCAGGTATGGAATGAAATGATTACAACATTGCATTAAGGAGGTACATCTCCCGACTTTGACCTGAACACTAGCCATTGCAAGCATTCTATTAATTTAGAGAGATGCGTCTTGAATTTGAATCGTGCGCTACACCTATAATGAGACAATTTTGTTGTATTTTTTCTTATCTGAAAAGTATGCAAGGTATTGGTACTTAGAAATTTCTGCTCCTACAATCCTTAAATTTTAAACTAAATTTATGTTACTTGCAAAATCAATATCAATGTTGAAGAGAATCATCACAGCCAATGACTGTATATTTCTGTGAAAGCAAAAGGCCAACACACGGAACATGATGTGTAATGATGCAGTCCAATGGGATGTTCTTGAAATTCAATAATTTTGTGTGTCCTCGCAATGATTCTATTCTTTATGCAGAGCAATCCCAGCTGGTAGGATTTGGAAAATTCACCACATTTGAAACATCAATGTACCTAGACTTATCATCAGGTAATCATTTATTTTATTTTATTTATTTGTTTATTTAACTGGATGTATCAGGAGACCCGACTGATGACGAATAATTATGTACTTTTTCTATTAAATTTTGCAGTACGTAGTAATTTTACGTCAGTTATTCCTTTTCTTTTAAGTTTCTGTTACCCTGCCATTTTTTATTCTTTCAGGAATGGGGAAGTGAAAAACTATGCCAAGCGCAGGCAGCGATCAATGAAAATCCTTGGGATATTGAATCTTGGGGTATTTTGATACGAGAAGCCCAAACCAGATGGATTCATGATGTACGCCCTTTCTTTGAGCAACTTGTCAACACTTTTCCAACAACCGGGCGTTACTGGAAAATTTACATTGAACAAGAGGTAAACACCTAATGCTCTTTTCACAATCAAATCCTCACTGTCAAATCATACAAACAAATTTTCTTTTCTAAAGATGGCTCTAGTCGAAAATGGCTGATCTCTTCTGCTTAGGCAAAAAATGTAATCACCCATGCTATAATTTCGTTTTTAAAAGAAAATTAGCCAACTGAAATATCTCCTGAATTTTCCTGTGAATATCATTCAGTAAATTAATTTAAATTATCGACAGACAATTTCAAGGACATTTTTGGGTTGGTTTAGCCTCTTAATATGAGAAAAATAAAATATAATATAAATGGAAACTTGCAAAGTTGCAGTCATGGATCCAAATTCTTTGACTGCAGCCATCAAAATATATCGGCAATATATCAGTGAATATTCGGTTAAAGTCTGGAAGATGCATGCTTCACCATTTTTGCAAGTGGATAATTCGATTTTCAACGCATCAAGCTTGACATCCAGTTGTCTCCTTTCTTTCTTTACTTTGGTCCAGAAATGAGCCTGTCTGGGACGTTACGGAATTGATATTAAGTCCCAATTTTTTTTTTCAAATTTAATGCAGCCTTATATAATTTGATTTAAATTTTTAGTCCTATTTTAAAATCATGCCAATTCCAGTGCATCTCATTAGTCACTTTTTTTAGTGAATTTTTTTTGAAGTGGATTTAACTAAAGCACTTGGATGTGAGAGTATCGCCATGAGAGAGCTGCTTTTAATTGGCTCCTCCATCTCAGGTTTTCGTGGAGATCTTAGGACCCAAAAATGCGGATTTTGGAAGCAGATCTGGGCTAGATTAATCGAGAATATGATTTAATTCTTCAATCCTTTAATCTCCATAAAATTTGCCTGAAGCATGTAAATTTACTGGTTTCTACTTATTGAATCAAATTTTAGCATTACAATTAAAAAACTACTCACCTATACCATTGTCAAGTTTTGTGAAAATATTGGCATCAGGTGGGAACCTTCAAAGGTTAGCCCCCCTCTACCTAATCCAATGATGCTGTCAGCTGTCATGTTTGGGTCCTAAGGCCTCCATAAGCAAGTAAAAGGCCGGGCAAAACGGCGATACTCTCACTATAAAGTCACTCTAAATTTGACTCAAAATTTATCGTTGCTTGCTTGTTCCAGATGAGAGGCAGAAATTTTGAAAAAGTTGAAAAGGTAAGCAAAATTAGATTTTTCTAAGATTGATACAAAATCAAAGAACTGATGATTCTTCAGGAAATCTGTCGAAAGTTACTGGCAAGGTTACAAAAAAGGACTTCTGTAGAAGACTAATCTTCCAGTCTGCAGATCACGGCAAACGTTTTGCTAATCTTGGGTGGCGGGTCAATTTTCAAGTACTAAGACCGAATTTCACTTTTTTCTGGGAAATTAATTCTCTTGTCACAAAATTGAATCTTTCTTACTGAAGAAATCGGAATTTTAGCTGTGATGCATGAACAGAAGATTGTGAGAACTATTCAGCGTTCTGGAACTTTTGTGCCAAAGAAATTTAAGGCTGGACTGTGCTTAATCAATATCTGCATCTGTAATTTCATGCGGTAAAGTCATTTTACGGAAACCTAGGGCAAGTAACCTGAGGTGACCCCTAACATGATACCTAAGTAAAGAAAAAAATGAAGTTTTCTGCAATTTCTTCAATTTTTCTCGCTGATGTAGGCCTTTTGAAACGCACCTGGGGGGAAAGGGATGCTTGCTTGCCCCTGCCCCCTACCAAATGAAGCTGCTGATTTCATGTAATTAATCTTAAAATCTTTTCATTGCACTCATTACAATTTTTCCATGGTGTTGTCATTCATCAATAGACCATCATCGTAGTGATCAACAACAAATGGATATAAAAATTGCACATTGGTGAGGACCCAAGATTCCATGTGCAGGTGTGGGGGGTCCCCTTTACCCTCAGCAAAAACGCTGAATTTCAAGTACTGGAATCTGTAGGAATGAAAATAAATTTTTTTTGCGCATCTGCAGAAAGTTTAACATCCCCTTGCAGAATTTTCAATTGATGTGTGCTTTAATTTTGATGTTTCTCTCTTTCAATAGCTTTTTCAAAGATGCCTAATCAAGGTTTTGAACATCGATCTGTGGAAGCTATATCTCGATTATGTCAAAGGAACAAAAGCAAGTTTAGCAACTTACAAGTAAGACCTCAATAGTCCTTTCACTTTTCTGCCTTTAATACAGAAAATTTTACCGATTTATGTCCTGCTTTCTATTGAAGGCTATTTTTTATAATTTTGTAATGCACTCCTATTTGTGCAGCCACTAAATACAGAAGTTTTGCTGCGCTTGGACCTTAGAATTATAATTTTTAGTTTTAAATTCTCTAACCAAAGTCTTAAGGTGTAGCAAACAATCATTAAACCAAAAAATTATATCATGATATGCATCAAGAATGAAATTGCGATAGAAAACAATATATCGAAGGTGGAGCTTCCAAACTGCGTATCTCGTTTACGGTGTTTAAAAATTTTTACTCCTATTTTATTTTTATAAGGAAAAACAAATCAACATTATTCCTTAAAGTTTCTTTGGTATTAGCCTCACAAAGAAGAGAAAGACCATGGAAGTTTTTAAGCATTGACGCTCAGTAGCTCTCTACTTAAAAAGTTAAGTATGACAGGAAGTCCGCAACTTTGCAAACCTGGTTTAGTAATTCTAAACTATTTTTTAAAAACTAGCCTAGCAAATTATCCACACCGACATTTGTCAGTCATCATTTGGCATACTTGATGCTCAACTAGTTGCTCAATAATCATAACTAGGCAAAAAGTAGTGCTGACCTCTGAGCTTAGTCTTGCCTCACCTGATTACATTGCCCACATTTTTAGTGCAAGGCTTCTAAAATATATTGTCTCCAACTGATATTAACAGCATTTTTTCGACCATCAGTGTCAAATTTTAGAATTTCATATATTCATTCAAGAGGAGTGGGTAAAATGATGGTCACCAATTTTCCAACTAAAATATTGTCAGCAGCGGCTCATATTACTCTGAAGGTTTTTTTGCTGACAGCTTTCACTCTCAGAAACTCTTGCATGTTTGGTGAGAAATAATCTAAATATTTCTGCCGATATTAGAAGGCACAGCACAGCAGGAATATGACTTGTGCTGTATTGGAGTATTGAACGAAAATCTTATAAATATATGTAAGAGTAAGTTCAGTTGTTAACTGTTAATCCTTGGGCGTTGACATTGACTTTGACTCATTTGTCAAGAGCATATTGCAGATTAGTAAACCGTGTGTGCCATGTTAAACCGTAACATTTTTCAAACTCTGGTAAAGGAAAGGTAAAAGCTTTTTTCAATTGGTCTTCTCTCCTCTGAGTTCTGTGTGCACCTTTTTACTTTAAAACAATATTGTCTTTCAGTCTTGACTAAAATTTAATTCTTAACAACTCATCTGATACTGTCTGCTTTTTCTTTTTACCCTAACAATTGTGAAAACTTTCAAGTTTCCGTTCTTACTTTTTCTGAATTCATCAATAAAGTATATTCTGAACTTTTTCCAGAGAAAAAATGGCTCAAGCGTATGATTTTGCCCTTGATAAAATAGGAATGGATATCAACTCCTTTGATATTTGGAATGATTACGTAAACTTTCTCAAAAGTGTAGAAGCCATTGGATCTTATGCTGAGAACCAAAAAATTACTGCTTGTAGGAAGGTGAGTTAATAAAATAATTTTTACAAAACTGTTTCTGTTATCAAAATATACTTAAAATAGAGACTCTTGTTCTTAATGGCACATGAGACTTTCAATCTCTGCCCGTTTTCTTATATTATTTGACTTTAAGGAGACCAGGCTGTCGCAATAGCAAAGCACCAGCGGAAAATATATTTCAAAGCATAAGAAGCTCAGAACACTCTTTTTCAGCAGAGAAAGGAAAATTAAAGCCATAGTAACAAGGGGAATTTTTTTCATCGGCCTAAAAATTGTGAAGTCGCGTCGCCTAAAACGAAGTCCCACAGTTTTAACCACCTTGAATTCAATGTAACATAGCCGCCTTGTGTTGCATGCCTGTGTCTACTCGAGACTCTCATTCTTTGGAGCCTCCCTTAAACACATCAAACAGCAATGACATAGCAAACTTGGTTGGGATGCATTACCTGTGGTTAAAATTCTGAGTGGAAGAAATTAAACTATTGCAGTTAAAAGGATACATGGATTGCATTTTGCAAAAAGGAACCACCAGCATTGCAATGTTGCTAAGATTGTGCAACTTCTTTCGTCTTGGAGGAAAAACCCGATTATCCCTTAATAGTTTCTATTTTACTCGCTAAAAACTGTGAATTTAAGACAAAAATTACCATCTAAATTTCATAGTTTTTCACAATTTTTGCAATTTTATTGCAAAGGATGAAGTTGCAATCTTAGCATCATTGCAATGCTAGTGGTTCCTTTTTGCAAAATGCAATCCACATGGTGGCAAGTTCTTTATCTGACATTGAAAACTTTGTCAGTGTGATATTTTACTGTTCATTTATGTAAAGTAAATAAAAATATTCGATTTTATTTATAATCATCCCTAGAAATTATTCAGTTACAATTCTGCAACTTTAAATGTTTCCTTTTTTCATTCCTTGACTGATTCCCTCTTTCTGACACTAGCCGATTATCATGAGCTTATTTTCAACTGGTGACCATCGACTCAAAGCAGCTTTTTCCTTCCCGGACTCAGTTGGTTTTTGTTAAGTTTGGAGTATTATCCATAAAATTTAGTTCATCGAAGTTCGGTTATTTTCAAACTCCATGTTTCAAGTGATTCAGCAAAATCCATTTACGAATGGCGTGTTGACACAGATCTCGCTTTTCATTGCTACAGGTTTACCAACGAGGAGTTGTGAATCCGATGAATAAAATTGAAGCATTGTGGAAGGATTACATAGCTTACGAACAAGTCATCAACCCTATCATAGCTGAAAAAATGATGATGGAGCGAAGCAGAGATTACATGAACGCACGGCGAGTTGCCAAGGAATTCGAAGCTATCACTAAGGGTCTCAATAGAAATTTGCCAAGCGTTCCACCAACTGGTCACATAGAAGAGTTGAAACAGGTATCTGACTCGTCTTTTTTATATTTTACCTAGGAGGCACTAAATTTCTGTGATTTTACTTCTCTTTATTTCTATCACTTCTATCACCGATTATAATTGTCGGATTGATGAGTAATTTTGGTTCAATCTAACGAAATTTTATTCAGCTAATACCCTAGCATGAAATTTTTGTCATTTATTTTTATTTTTTAAGATTCACTTGTGCGATGCAATCTTTTCCATTAGCCTTGCATCAACAGATCCAGCAAATTGGCAGAATTGTTTTTTTCCCCATTTAAACCTATGGATATGTATGGATTCTTGAAGGGGCCAGGTGCTCCAATAAGAATCGATTGTTTAACCTAGGTTTAAATGAAGGAAATCCGGTATTGCCAAATTGCTGGATCCGCTTCTGTGGCCCTGTTTTATTCATAGGGTCTTTAAAATCATGAAGAAGTGCTAAAAATACACACGAAATACATCATGGGCCTGTTGCAAACTTTTGCTAGAGCTAGAGTGAGAGTTGATTCTCATAGAAAATTTGTCAAAAATCATGATGAGCGCATTGGCAAAGTTTGGAATGCACTCCTAACTTCACAATTTGCGTGAGGAATTTGCGTTTTTTTAAGCTTCCAGCTTTAAAAACAATACTACGGCACAGGTGAAGATTTTGTTAAAGGAGTCGCTCCATCGTCGGCAATATTCATCATGGCCGACACGTGCGCAGTTCCGCGCGTAATTCGAGGAGAGTTCATTATTACCCTTATTTTTGCTCTAGCAAAAGTTTGCAACAGGCCCATTATCTTTGTGTGAAGAAAAAATTTAAAAGAAACATTGGCCCTAGTTTCTCTTTTTGATGATTTAATGATGCAAGCCAAAAAAATGCTTCAGGAAAAAATAGATGCTCCCAACTTTTTCAAATTCTGACTCATCTTGAAGAGAAAGAATAACGTTACAGGTGATTTATCTAACATAAGACAATGTACATTCATAGCTAAAGTGCAAAACCATGTATTTTCTTGGCGGCGTTTCAAAATCTCTGCTAATTTTCTACTTTTTTGAAGAGAAACAAGCCAACTTTATAGCTTGAAATTCGTGCAGAATATTCTGCTGATAGTGGAGGAAAATCAAGAAAATTTTTAAAAAAGTATTTTGACTGGTTTAAAATAAAGAGTATGAAGTATGATAGGAAGTCCTCAACATCACTAACGAAGATAAATGGTTTCGCACTTCGGCCATCGATATTCTACAATCAAAGAGCAGATAATCTTTAATTATCATGCACTAGCTGTTTTGTCTCTATATCCCAATGTAAACCAAAGACAATGAAAGTGAAGAGGTTTTTTGGAGATTCAATAATGGCTTTTGTATAACAGGTAGAACTGTGGAAGAAATATATCGCATGGGAAAAATCAAATCCGTTGCGTTCAGAAGACACTGCCTTAGTTACACGCAGGGTCATGTTTGCCTTCGAGCAATGTTTGCTGTGCATGGGACACCATCCAGATGTGTGGTATGAAGCAGCTCAGTATTTAGACCAAAGTTCCAAAACACTCTCCGAGAAAGGGGTAAGGCTTTGTTTTAGTGTTTTCTTCTTTTTCCATTTGGTTTCTAGTTAAGACTGAAGGACTAGACTGTTAAGACTAGTTTGCATTATGACTGCCAAAGCTGTCATAATGCCTGTTTTTTCGTTGGGTACTCCTGGCCAGAATGGTTATATTGACCACCGTTGTGTAATGGAGACGCTGTGAGTGGGTCATCCAAGGAACTGATTGTAGAGCACTGGTTGTTTTCTTACTGTTAGAAAGCTTTAGTGTTGGAGCAATCAGTAGAAACTGAAGCGTTAAAATCTGGCTGTAGCTTTCTGTGTTTTTCTGGCCCTACAAGAACAATTTTAGATCAAACTGTTGGCAGTGAATGTGTTAAAAAAGTAACTCTTCCTATAGAAGTTTGGAAATCCTCTCTATTCTAATAAAAGCATTTTTAAGACGTTCGATGGGCGGGGTGAGGAAGGAGAGAAAGACGGTCCCAAGGTTGAATTTGCCCAAATTCTAAAATTCCCTTTTTTTGATCGTCTCTATAGTATTCATCCTGTCTTGAGTCACAAAATTGTTGAAGTATTGAAATTCAATGCTGTACAGGGTGTCCCAAAGTTAAGATGAGTACCCTCTCTATTCTAATAAAATGATTTTTAAGATGCTCGATGGACGGGGTGAGGAAGGAGAGCATGGCAGTCTATAGGTCAAATTCCAAAGAAGGAATCAAAATTCAGAGTAAGGAAAAAACCATTAAGAATATTATTTGGCGGGAAATTTGTCTTTGAAACATCGTGCTGTTATTAAATTAAAATTATTTGCTCCTTAACCGCCAACAGGCGATTTCGCCGGCCGCTTAGCCGCCAGGGGGCGGACTCCCTAATTTTATTTACTATTCCTTTGACAGTGATCTGGAAACAGCTGAAAAAACTATCACAGGCTCTTTCAGAAAAAACAAACCCACAGCATCTAAAGCACAGAGTTCAATTATCAGTTTTCCCAAAACTTTTTATTATTTTTAGGAATGAAAATATTTCTTGAAGTTTCCTCCAATGAACTCCTAGAGAGAGTACAAAATTGAGCACCACTAACTTGTTTCGATATAACAATTTTATGTGGAAAACGATGAATGCATTAAGACTTTCTAAATGTAATTAATAAAACACCAAGTTACACTTAAAGGTTAACAAATATCTGTGTTTGTCTCTATCAATTCACACTTCTTGCTCACAAAAAAACTTGAGTCTACTCAAGTCAAATTGAGCACTAAATGGACTATACATATATTGAACTGTTGATGAACTTTCCTACATCGTAACTTTTTTTAAAGTTTCATAGTATTTTCTTAAATCAGAGGCTAGGTGAATGGGGTTTTGACCCTGGTCAAAAGTTAGAAGAAAAAGAAGAAGTAGTAGTAACTTTTTTTTGACAAGCTTATGGGTGCCTAGTATCAATAGAGGAAGGAAGTCTGTTTGCAATCATGCTCCAGTTATTCGCCTCATGTATAGGTTGATTTCAATGCCTATTTTGGCTTGCACCGATTGTGGTCTTTTTTGAGCAGGAAATTTGAATTTACTATTTATAACATTAACTACTTTGCTGGTTTCTCTCTCATTTGACGGAGGTTTTCAAAATGTTAGGCCTGTTTTGCACAAAATTTCGACTAGAACTGCACCAATAGTGCCTACCTCGTCTAGCGATCAATTCAGCATGTTGATGGCCAAAGTGCAAAACAACGTATCTTCAATTCAAAAATTTCTGCTTCTATTTTATTTGTTCAAAGAGAAACGAGCTAACTTTATTGTTTGAAATTTTTACAGAATATTCTGCCCACAGAGAAGAAAGATCGGGAGAGTTTTCAAGAAATTATTTTGACTAGTTTTTTTCTAAAGAAAAATAAAGTAAGACAGGAAGTCTGCATAGTCTCAAATGGAGATGTGTGGTTTTGCACTTAGGCCATCAATGTGCTTTTGAGTCTTCCCTGATGTTATGTCATACATTCAATACTGATAAATAGGAACTCTCAACCGACCTATTCTACCTTTGTTTGTTGGTGCAGGAAATGTATTTTTGACAAACTCCCAGAAATTTTTTCTCACATTCAAAATTTGAAAAGAGTAGCAAACAATCGCCTGTATTGTGTATACCAGAAACATCGTTGTGCCTTTCCTCCAAGATTTTTACTTATTTTCTTTTTTTACACTTTCCCAGGATGTGAATGCATCAAAACTATTTAGCGATGAAGCTGCAACAATTTTTGACCGAGCAACATCAACTATTTTAAAGCATAGTATGCTCCTCCACTTTGCGTATGCCGATTTTGAGGAAGGCAGGATGAAGTATGAGAAAGTGCATGAAATTTACAAAACGTATCTGGAACTGCAGGAAATAGATCCTACTCTTGTAAGTAAATCTTGGTAAAGACGTTTTACATATTGAATGACAAACTGATTGCAGTAGACGCACGAGTGGAAAGACAGTAAGTTGGAATTTTTTAGCCAACCTATGTTAAAAATCAGCACAAAGCTGAAAATCTCAATACAGAGGGAAAAAGCTTATATGAGCACAATTTTCCCTCAAAGAGACATGCTGTTTGGTACAACACTAGTAATGATGGCAAACCAAACATCGTATCTCTTTGAGTGAAAATCGTGCTCATATGAGCTTTTTCCTTCTATATTGAGATTTTCAGCTTCATGCTAATTTTTAAGGCAAGTTCGCTAAAAAATTCCAACTTACTTTATTTGAATGAACCGTCTTTTTATATCTATTGAATATATTTCCAATATTTAATTCTTTGCAATTTTATGTAGAATGTTTTACTTAATTTCGCCAATCAGCGCCAATAATTATTGATTAGAACTTTCCATTATTTGGATCGAATTTAACCGAAACACACCAAGTCGCATTTTGGGGAAAAATGAGTTAGTAATAGTTTCGAATTTAACTAGTTCTAAATTTTTGGAATAGTTTTGTATCTAACCATTCCTAACTTTCCTCTTGTCAAAAATTCTATGTCGAGAAAAAATGAAAGAATTTGGAACGTGAAAATAGTGATGAAGTTTTGTCCTTAACATTGAGTCTTATGGAGGAATGAAACTTCAAACCTCTTTCCTTGGTTCCAACTTAATGTGACTCGATGTATTTCCATTGAACTTCATTCATTTGTGGCTGGCGACGGGGAAGAAACTCTCGGTGCATGGAAAAAATATTTTTAACAGAATAATTCATACCCAGTTGGGCGGAAGAATCGAAACTTGAGTCAATGATCAATGATGTTCTGTAGTGCCTACCTCATGAATAAAATGGCTGTTTTTAGTTTTGTGTCAATAGAATACACAAAAACTCATCTTAATTTAAGTAATTTGAGTCTGGAACATGATAGATAAAAACTTTCCATATCAATTTTTCAAAATTTCGGTTTTTGAATTTTAAACTTTCAATGGTTGAAATTCCAGCTTAGTTTAGCGGTTTTGGATGTTTTTGGCTCGTGTAATCTTAGACCATCATTCTTCATTATGGCGAAAAAAAATTGAAATTTTTGTAAAAAATGACCTGTGCTAAATTCTCCAGCGGCCATTAATGTTTCAACTAAACAAAAAAAGTAAATGAAGTATAGTTTCTCAAGGTAAATGAAATGTTCAGTAATTCTTGAATCTTGTGTATTCAATAAGTAGCCAGTGATTTTAGTCCATAAGAATTTTCTTGGATTTTTTGAAGGATATGAACCCACAGAAAACAAGTTCAAAGCTGCATATGTTGAGCCTTTATTTGCAGACACACTGCTGATAAAGCCAAGGTGGGATCCAAAAATATTCATCCTATCTCAGGTACACTTTCCGTAGGATAACACCTCAGCTGCAATGAGGAGAAATTTTTTCTCAGGGAAGTGGGTAAAAAGCGCAATCCACTAAAGTGCGGAATGTGCGAGCCTTTACTGTTTATGTTGCTATCTGTTGCTAAAATGTTATCTGTTGTGAATTTTACGCAGACTTATGTGCAGTATATGAAATTTGCTAGAAGAGCAGAAGGAATTAAGTCAGCCAGATCGGTGTTTCGGAAAGCAAGGGAGGACCCCCGTTCCAATTACCAGGTTTGTGCATCTTTTTCACAATTTTCAGAGAGCAATTTTCAATGAAGTTTTATCAGCCAATCCAGAGATACTGAGGTTATTTTAAAAACTTTTGCCTGAGCCAAGGAAAAAAAGTCACGTGAAATCCTGGAAAAATTAGAATGAGAGCAGTGGAAACACCTATAATTCACTGTTTTTCTCCAGTTTGGGTAGGAAATTTTGCATTTAGCAGCTTTCTTTAAAATAATGTAGAAATAGTGAAAAAATTATATGAAACAAAATGACCTGCAGTTGGTCGTCAGTCAGCATAGTTCTTAAATAAAAATAAACCGCAAAAATATATATCCTGGTCAAACACTTACATAAGTATATGTTTCTACTTTTTCAAGTAACATTTAACTAGAAGTGGTGTCATTGTCATTTGTTTTCATTTAAGAAACTACCTGGGGGGGAAAAAATCGTTATCTTGCGTTAGTGTGTTGTTGTATAAACGAAAGTGACTCTTTCTTATCGAATTGCATCCTTGTCGAAGTATACTGAGAGAGATTGAAGGGTAAATGCCTCAATTTTTCACTAATTTGTAGGTGAAAAAGTGTGTAATGGATTTCGCTAACATGCTCATCAGGATTTCTGAACAGTGTTATATAAGAAACTAACTCCGTTTGTAGCTCTAATGCAAGTTTACAGCAGGCTACAAAAATGTGTTTTTAGTTTTTCCACCATAAGTAACTTTGAAAATCAGCTGGCACAACATTTTCTTGAAATTGAAAAAAAAAAATTCATTATGTCAATTGAAAAATGTATCATCTCTTAGCAATTTTTTTTTGTGTACCATGAGAAAATAAAATTACATATATTTTCATTTTTAAGCTTAATTTTTTCGTAAATATGTTTTACTAAATTAGCATATAAATGAGGAAAAAAAACACTAAAAAGTGGCCCGAACTATATGTAACAAGGTGGAGAAATGGTGCTGGGTCCACAACATTTCACGGGGAAATTAAAGCCAAAAAGTTCCAAAAATTATAATTAGAGTCAAAAATAAATTTTTTAACTCTAATGAGCAACTTTTTTTTAACTTTTCAAACTGCCTGAGCTGAACACTCTCCCCCCTCAGTTTGTACTGGTACTCATTAGAGTTGAAACATTTTATTTTTGACTAATTATAATTTTTGGAACTTCTTGGCTTTGATTTCCCCGCGAAATGGTGTGGACACAGTACCATTTCTCCACCTTCCTAGTATGTAAATTTGACCGGAAATTATTTGTGCCTTGGCATTCCTTCTTGCTCGCATGCATTTTTTTGAAGAATTTCTTCTGTTTCAGCTATTTAAATCAATGAAGTCCTTTCACGCTTGAACAGAAAAACTGACTGTCTTCAGTAATTTCATTCTTGATGTGTTAATGTTTTGGACGTTTTGTTGGCAGATTTTCGTGGCAGCAGCCTTGATGGAGTATTATTGTAGTAAAGATAAAAATATTGCATTTAGGATTTTTGAATTAGGACTGAAAAAGTTCTCTCACACGCCAGAATACCTGTTGTGTTACATAGACTACTTATCACATTTGAACGAAGATAACAACACACGAGTGCTCTTTGAACGTGTCCTCTCATCGGGTAGTCTTGAGTCTGAAAAATCTGTGTAAGTGTTGGCTTTTGCAATCTTTAGTTCAATTTTCACTGGACAATATTCTTCCTATTTTGTTATATAGGTATTTCAAATTCGCACAAAAGAGTTTACCATGGAGGTTTTGGCATACATTATCCCTTTATAACACTATCACGGCACAATATCATTCCTCTCATCATATAACAGACCATAACACTTTACCAGTACACTACAGACAAACTAATATATAAGGAGAGGGTTAAATCATATTTTTGAAAGGACTCTATTGTCCTGACATAAATCCTGCAAATTATCCAACGTCTTTGTTTGTGTCAGCGCTGAAGGTAGTCTCTTGGGCTGCCATCTTGGAAATGAAATCATTCTGCTGCACCACAAGCTGCCGGCTGATTTTCAAAATTTTGGATTTGTCAATTAGCTAAGACCAGTCCAAAAAAGAATGTAACCAAGAAGTAATTCAACCCTGGGAAAAACTGCACTGAACAGAAGATAGGAATTAATGGGCCTGTTACAAACTTTTGCTAGAGCAAAACTAAGAGTTGTTTCTTACAGATAATGCCTCAAAAATCACGATGAGCGTATCGGCAAAGTCTGAAATGCACCCATAACTTCACAATCTGCGTAAGAAATTTGCGGTTTTTTGAGCTTCCCGCTTCGAAAACGATACTACGGCACAGGTGAATATTTTGTTAGAGGAGTCGCTCCATTGGCGGCAATACTCATCATGGCCGACGCCAGTCCGCCAAAACATGTGTGATGGGACGAGATAACACCTGAACAGGATTAAACCAGATGACAATCGGCGTGTTTACGTTCATATTTTCCTCGCCTGCCTTAATTGACCTTGAACTCTCCTCGAATTACGCGAGGAACTGCGCAAGCGTCGGCCATGATGAATATTGCCGACGATGGAGCGACTCCTCTAACAAAATGTTCACCTGTGCAGTAGTATCGTTTTTGAAGCGGGAAGCTCAAAATAACGCAAATTTCTTACGCAGATTGTGAATTTATGGGTGCATTTCAGACTCTGCCGATACGCTCATCGTGATTTTTGAGGCATTATCTATAGGAAACAACTCTTCATTCTGCCCCAGCAAAAAATTGCAACAGGCCCATTGAAAAACCTGGCTGTTTCAAAATATTAAAATTTCATTTTTAACTGGTGAAATTGAAAAAAAATCCGCTGTAATTGAAAGGCCGAGACTTAACCAACAAGTGTTGAAACTGACCGCCTATGAACTCTTTTTCATCTGAGTTTTGTCTTGTTCAATCGACAAGTACAAAATTGTTGCAAGGTCAAGCAGCTGTGTGCAGCTTAAAATCTTTGGGTGCGGTACTTGAAAGCCGTTTATAGCCTGTAAATATTCCATAAAAATTACTCATCTTTCAATTGCAAAGTATGAATTGCAAATTTTTAAATTTCACAAAAACTCATGTTTAACCCATTGACTTAAAACATTTAAGACGTTGCTTGACTTGACATCAATGTTTACGATATCCCAACATGTTAATGAAAAGTTGCGTTCTTGTCAGTGTTTGTATTAGTAGCACTGTATCGTGGCTTTGGTCATTCAACATTTCCCTCTTTCATTTGGTGATGAATTTTAATCGGTGGTCTTTTTTCTAATTTTTTTTCAGTGAAATTTGGAATAGGTTCTTAGAATTCGAGTCCAACATAGGTGATTTAAGTAGTATTGTAAAAGTTGAAAAAAGAAGGAGTGCTGTTTTGAGTAAGGTAAAAAGAAACTTTTACATCAGTACGTTGCATGTTCATTTCCTTTTAGACTTTAAATTTAGCTATTGTAATTAGAAATTATCTTCAGCTTAGTCCACCACAGAAAAAGCAGAATTGTTTTTTCAACTTAACAGGTGTACAGTAGAAAACATTTCATTCAAAATTTTTTATCGTTAAACTGTCATTTTCCAGACAAAAAACTGCAATTAAAGTTCAATGCTACAAAATGTTCACTAGTAAATCGTACTTTTTTCAGGAAATGGTTAACAGTTGCAACTCAAATTTTCACCGATTTATCCTCTGATCATACTTAAAAATCAGCAAGATTTTAGACAGAAAATGTTCGGCACATTAATGTATAAATTGAATTTTTTTTGGACAAATTTGCAACCTTAGAATGAAGCTATATGGTCCTTTGTCTGAAAATTGATGGATTTAGATGAAAATTAATGCTTTCCTTGGCCAGGCTCAAAAGTTGTGCTGTAGATCTAAAGGAACAAATGTTCTTTCTCAGGATGTGTAAGTACTGTACAGAAAAAGTACAAACACATCGAAAAAGAGACAAGGATTTTTACACAACGTCATAGCCACGGTGCTTAGTTTGTAAAAATAGAAATGCTCACTGCAACGGAAAAAGACTCATGTAGGGTAAATTTGCCCTAAAAGAATTATGTTGATATGCTGTCTCTAAACTTTACTCCACATAACCTCCAATTAACCAACAAAAACACACCGCCAATGCGACGCTGCCGTGTATTCTTCCACTACGCATTCCGCCGCCATATTGATCGTGACGTGTACATTCGAAACCTACGAGCGCGCGGTTCAAACGCTGTTTTAGGCCACCCCAATTTTTGGCACTTTCAAATATTTTTTTCTTCCGTTTGCAGTTATCAAAAAAAAATCAGGAAAAAAACTGTAAGCTTTGGTTACTTACTACGTTCGAATGACACAATAAAAAAAAAATGACTTAACTGACTCATTCTGACCAATTTTTATTAGATTCATAATATAGTATGGGCTGAAAAACAGTTTTAAATGCCAATGGCCACTGTTCCTTGAGATTTTCAGCCGAGGTTTAGTCTGAACAATCATGGCAGTGGATAATTGCTCCCTGAACAAATCGTCGCTCATTTTGAACTGTTTTTTTTTACTGTGCACTCTCCATTTTTCCAGATTGCAGAGTTCGAAGGTAAAGAAACCGCCCAGTTGGTTGATAGGTACAAGTTCCTGAACCTGTTCCCTTGCACCCCTGCAGAGTTAAAGTGAGTAACTCCTTGATTTAAGATCTTTTTTCCTGTATATCTCAGTGCAGTTATTAGTTTGACGTTTTGAACAACAAATTTTGCCTGAAGTCCATTTCAAATCATGTCTTTTTAATCATCTGACATATCTTCCAAAAAAAAAAGACAGTCATGGTTTTCCTGCAATACGTGAAAGTACTGTTGCCTAATATTTTATACTTTCCCAAAATACTTCATAATTCTCCTTCTTTCTTTTTGATATCCGCCCACTGGGTACAGAGTTTTTTAAGAACTGCTTAAGGACAGGTATCATTGCATTTGTTACTGATTTTGTATTTTGCCTCAATTTGACATGTTCGAAAAGATATTTTAAAGAGAAGAAAATAAGGCCCTATGAAAGGCCTGTACATAACGTAGGCTGAGCCCTAGAACAGGGTATTTTGTCTTTAAAGGCGTCTCTGTGTCATCTTGGGGTAAGTACTTAGTTTTTGAGGTAGGCTCAGAAGTATTTAAAAAATAAAATTTTTTTAGACTTTCCTGAAAGGTATGGAATACTATGTATTATATATCTTTAGAAAATCTGTATAAAAAATCTTCAGAAAATAGCTGCCTGCAAATTGTGGCAAAAAGCCATGCTTGTTAAAAAGAAATTCATCTGTAATATTTTCACTATTGATGCTTTTAGAAGCACTGTTAGGAGACTAATTATACTAATTTTCTTAATTTTAGAGCAATAGGCTACAATGAAGTCACTCAAAATATAGCCAAGTCATTCCAAGCTGCCAAGTCTGGCGGGCCGATCATCTCCAGCCTGGACGTGATGGATGACGGAGATGCAGCTCAGAGAAATCTCCCGAAGCCAGACGTATCACAAATGATTCCATATAAGCCTAAACGAAATGCATTCATCGGTGAACATCCTATCCCAGGTAAGGTTCATGCAGAGCTCATAGAAACTGGAAAAATGTAGGGACTTTAATTTGTTGAACAGGGTTGCCAGCCAGGGAAGAGCAAGAAATGTCAGGGAATTTTGAAAAGTCCCAGGAGACCTGAAAATGTCAAGGAAAATTTCAAAAGTGTCAGCAAAAAATTGTTAAGTCACCTTTAACGGGTCAGTTATGCTGGTCATAGAATCGTGTTTTGATGATTAACTCTTTTAGATTCGCTAAAAGTAATGAGTCGTCCAAACAGCAACTTTATATGTTGAATATTAACCGAGATATCGCGCGTTAAAAAGTTAGGTTTTTGACATCATCTACTGCGGTAAGAACACCCCTGGTTTCTTCCACTTTGCTTTCATCAGACATTTCTGTTGAGTAACCAGTGCAAATGTGCGTCACGCTGACTGATGCAAGCAACATAAACTGATTGTGGTAGACGCACTCGTACGGCAGTATGTTGTTATAATCAGCTTTATGCTGAATTTTTAATGCTTATTGGCTAAAAACTCCAACATACTGATGAAAGCAAGGTGGAAGAAACCAAGGGTGTCACTACCGCAGTGGATGACGTCAAAAATCCGACCTTTCAAAGAGTGATATCTCGGTGAATATTGAATGTGGAAAGTTGCCGTTCGGACAGATCTTGTTAGTTTTAGCTAGTCTAAAAGAATCAATCATCAAAACCCAATTATGTAACCAGCGCAACTGAGCCATTGCTTTTTATAATGATTTTGAAGTTTTGAACAACAAATTTTGCCTGAAATCTATTTTGAGCTATGTCTTTTTAACCATCTGAAATATCCTCAGTCGTCAGGGAATTTTACGGAAATGTGTTGGGGAAACCAGGAAAATGTTAGGAAAATTCATTTTTCAAATTCTGTGGCAATCTTGGTTGAAAATGCTAGAAATTAGGTGTTTAACTCTGGAAACCACAGGGATTTTGGCGTTCTATAATAGTGATGGAACTGGTTTTTTGCAAGAAGAGTTTATTAAAAATTAATTTGGCAGATATTGTAAGAACCAAAGTTCAAATATTAAATTTTGACTGTTCTTTTTTCCTTTTCTTTTCTTTTCTTGCTGTGTGGCGGTGTCCCTGTATAGGAAATTTGGGCTTAATGTGGCAATTTTGTAACAATGAAATCTCTGGTGGCTGTTATTCTTATTTTTTGTTCAAAATTACTATATACAAATTATTCATTTTTTATCCATCATCTTGTCTTGGAAGTTATTACGCCTCATCAAGAAGCCTAGTTGTATATCGTATATTTTTCTGTAGGTGGCAGCTTCCCTCCACCTCCTGCCGTTGCTCAACTAATGGCCACTTTGCCACCCCCTGGTTGTTTTCATGGACCATTTGTTGCTGTGGATCAGCTTCTGGAGATATTTGATAAAATCCAAATTCCAGATAAACGTAAGTCCCCTTCGAATTATTTGTTACATTTTCTGTTAGTTCTACTCTCACAGTTGTACCTACAGTCAACTTTCAATATTCAAAGGACCGGAGAAAATTCAAAGTAATGAGGTTTCCAAATTTAAGAGGTTTTGAAGAGATTCAAATTAAAGATTCATTCACAAATTCTGTTACCCAATTTACCTACTATAATGAATGTAAAGTGCTGGGCATAGTGCTTTTCCAGTTAACTGAGTGCCTTTTCCTCAATGACCTGCTAGAATTTTTAAATTGAAGAAAGTCCTGTTGTAAAATTTCAAATTACCAAGGGTAATTTGTCTATGCTTAGCTCTGAAAAATTCAAATTATTGTTGAGAGAAAGACTTGTCAATTTTTTTCGAATTAATCAAGCTTTTTTGAAGGATCCAGCACTGTACTTTGTATTAATGATAGTTTCAAATTATTGAGAGTTGACTTATTTGAAATTTATTTTTTTATTGAGCTTTGTGCGAGAAGAGTGACACAAGAGTCATTGAAAATTTTTGAACTTTTTTTTTAATATTCAAGCTTTTGAATACCCTTTTTGGGACAATTGCTTTCATGTCCTAAAAAGCCTTTTAATTTCACCTTATCTGGTAATTTTGTTCAAAAGATCGTTCTTCGCTCTTATGCCACCAGCACTTTAAAACTATAGCATTGTGACGTCTGTTTGTCTCTTCATTTAGATAGTGGCAAGTTTTGGAAGAAAATTATTTGGTTTTGTAGGCACTCTCTAAAGTCTCTAAAATGTTGCTTGTATTTCTTTGAAAATTTTTACAGAATTTGTGGCATGTCTTTGATCTCAAAAACTAGTACTCTTTTAACAGTCCTTTCTTCTTGATTTTGAAAGTTAGTCACCAATCATTTGCAAACATCATTTGATTTCCTGTGACAGAGAATTATTTGGTACCACTGTCGGCTTCTCAGTTCAGAACAAAGCGCCTAGAACATAAAAGCTGGGAAATGCTGAGATTCATCGCAGATACAAACAATATCTGTGAGCAATCAAGTAATTGAATTACATTTTGCAACAAGGAACCACTATTTTTGGCCCATTTTAGAAACAACATGCATGCCATTGATTTCCTTATGCAGATATGTGCTTCTATGGGAGAGCCAAAGATAGTGGTTCCATATTGCAAAATATAATCCAATTCATACAGGAATTTATGTTGAAAATCGAAAATTTCTCTTTCTGCACCAAAATAGCCTTGCTTCCAATTCCGACTGTCACTGATGGCTTAGCGCCAAATTAATCAATAAAGAAGTAAAATTTCAATAGTTTGCTGTGAGCTACAGGGATTATTCTAATTTTTCCCTCAAGGATAAGCAGGAAAATGAAAAAAGTCATCGAGTTTCTCAGCAGGTAATGAGATTGTCTTCTGCAGATCAGGAAGAAATCAGGGAATGAGAAAAGTACAGATTTGTGGACACCATATTTTACTCTTAGAATACAGGTTCGAGCTGATTCCCTGCAATAGGATTTTCAGCAAAAACTTTCAAGGAGCTGTAATTTTCTTGAGTTTTTCCTGCTCCAGTCTCGCACAGACATAATATTCAATTTGTGAAGACACATCTATTCATTTCCTTTTTTTTTTACAGCTCCTGTTCCAAAAGGTGACAACGGTTGTGATACTCGGTTATTTGACTTCACCAGCTCTATCCACTGGATGGAGAACGATGATTCAGTCTTAAACAGTGGGATCAGGAGGAAACGGAAAGCAGGAGGAGGGGATGAAAGTGATGAAGAAGAAAACGTCGCTCCACCTGTCTACGACATTTATAGAATAAGACAGCAAAAACGAGTCAAATGATCTTTCATTTATCGCAGTGACACTGCTTTCAGTTGATCAAATCGTAATATCTCTGACTTGCTCTGTAGCGAATGCTGTTGGACACAAATTTTAAGTCTGATGTGCCATTATATTTTGTATTGCGTCTTCTACGTAATGGTACCATTGGACAATATGGTAAACTCCCATGTTGGATACATGAAGAGTCTCCTACCTAGTTTAGGGGGTTGAAAACCTGATCTTAAATTGTTGCTCCTCTGATGTAAGGCGAATCTCCTTTTTTACACAAGCTTTGAACAGCATGGAATCGTAAATCAGACTGTTACATCAGAGGAGCGATAAAACATGTCATTAAATTCAGTTCGGTAATCCACCATATCCAGAGAAATAAATTTGGGTTCTTTGTTAATATATCTGTTTTCCAGATCATGAGCCCATGTAAATCTAAATTTTTAGTTGTTTCAGCCAAGTTTCAACAGGCCTAATAATTGGAGAATGTTGGCCTAATCAGTAAAAGGACCACTAAACAGGGTATGAAATTATGCACCAGAATACATATAAAATACAATGGACACATCAAAATTTTCCAAATTCTACTCATAAGTGAGAAAATAACAGCTCCTGTCTACATTTGTTTACTATGTCTGTTCACAAACAAACCAGAGTCTAGTAGAATAAAATTGTGCACTGAATTAATTTCGACGTATCATCACCTTCCAGGCAAAGTATCACAAGCGCCATGCGACATTTAAAAATTTCCGCCGCCATTTTATTTCTTTACTGAGAAATTGTTGGTTGAATCTGTTTGGAAATTTCATTAAATTTTATCAGCAGCACAAAGCTAATTCAGTGAAATTTTTGGACAGCTTCGTTGAACAATTTCTCTGTAAAAAAATATAATGGCAGCGGAATTTTTTAAACGTCGCATGGCGCTTGTGATACTTTGCCTGGAAGGTGACGATATGGTGATGGAAGAATTTTTCTCTCTATTAAATTTTTGTCAACAGCATTAAAGATATCTTGTATCAAGCAAAGAAAGAGATGTTTGTGAAACTAGGCTCCAGTTTTTGCTTAATGTATCAGTGGATTTCAATGTCTAATAGGGCCTTTGTTGATAACGGTTTTTTCGCGAGAAGGAAGTTTGAATCAAGTGCTTACATTTACTACTCACGTATGAGTTAATTTCGAAGGTTTTAATGGTGCTCTGCCTAAAATTCTGATGAATTCACATGCTTTGTAATGCTGTATTCTTCACCCTGTCTAGTGGTCCATCGCAGAAATGTAGGCATAATCAGAAAATTGAAAAAGAAGTACACTTACAATACCAAGAAATATTTTGTTGGCTTGTAAATAATATTGGATAAGATGTCCCTCACAACTTTTCCAGCATGATGAGCTTTTTAATTGTACTTTCTGTGTGCCAATCTCGAGAAAAGCTGGGGTGAAAAGTGAATTTTTATACTTTCTCATCATATGTATGTCGTTTCCAATGGAGGTATGGGATTGTGACCATGTCTGTGTGAATGCTATACTGCACGCTGTTATCATTTGGAGGACTTTCCTTCTTTTGTCAGTCTTATCCTCCTAGCCAGTGAGGAAACAATAGCTCCTTTCGATCACTTATGAGATACTTTAACATTACCACCAGATACAGCAAGTAATTATACCAAAAAAATTTACTTTTCAGCCCTGCTTTTCTCAAGATTGGCACATAGGAAGTTCGATTTTAGAAGCTCATCCAAAGGCTCAGGAGACTGTAAGGAACAAATTACCAAATTAAGTATAAATTTAGCTGGCACTGAATTTCTTGGTATTGTGTGCATAGTTCTTTGCTTTTCATCGTCCGCTACTTTTATTGAATTAAAATCAGCTCTGTAAGTTCCTCGTGTTACCATTTTACTGAAAATGCTAGATTTTTTATCTTCCTCTTGTTTCTTTGAAGATTTTCAAAGTTAGGTTTTGTTTTAGTAATATCTGTTAAATGTCCAAGTTTCCTAAATTTTCAATTAGTAAAAGCCCTCTTTGATTTTTACACCATGTTCAAGGATTTTTTAACCCTTAATCCAAAGAGAGGGAATCAGATTTTAATTTTAATCAAAAATATGCATGATGAGTGTGCATGATTTAATGCAATCTAAGAACTCTGAGAAGTAGTGAAACTACTTTTTTATTTCTAAAGTCAATTACTTTGTCAGTCACTTGTCACGTTGTATACAATCATTTACTTTTTAAGAACAAACACTCTCTGTTATTGTTTGCAACCTTTTTGTTTTTTAACTCCCAGAAATTCTTGCCAAGTATTCAGTGGGATCATACAAAGATAATAAAAGCTGCAATCCTGGTCTTGATAAAGTTACAGTCTTTTTCTTGAATTCTGTGAAGTAAACAAAATCTCATGCCAACACATTTTTTCTTCTTTCCTACTGCTGACATTTTTATAGCAGGTGAGGACTGATTCCAAGCCAGAAGATTTTGAAATAAACCCCTTAAAATATGTATAATTCGCACTATAAAATTTTGCAAATAATTAAATTCTGGTTGCTCGAGAAAATACATGAAGGAACTCTTTGAAACCTTACTCGAATAAATGAATAAGAGGTCCAAGTTTTGAGTTACATTGAATTCAGTACATACAATCTACCCATGTGAGTTGAGCTTTTCTGAAGTGATAGATGAAAATCCTGTAATATTTCTCATCAATCTAAAAATTATTCTTTTTACTGTAAATTTTCTCTGTATCTATTTCATTTTGAAAAAAAATACTAAATAAAAAAGATGTGGTTAGTCTGATATTCAGGATATTATTTTCCCTCTTTAAGTCTGTCTTTAATTACCCTGTCATTCAACTTTTTTGTGGACGAAGCTCTCAGTTACCTGTTTTTTTGTCATATGAGGTGATCGTAAAGAAACATAAGCTCTTTTAAATCAATCATTGCTCAATTTCCTCCAGAATGTGGCTTGATTCCTCACAGTCTAACGAGGTCTATTCGAACAATCGGCGAATTTACTTTAAAGGGGTCTAAATGGACCGAGTTCATCAGAAAGGAACCAACCCACATTTTCAAAAAAATTGAGTTAAGAACGTTTGTAGTTCCTCTAGTTGTGTTCTTTCTTCTGCCAAAAATATTCTGTCAATAAAAAATATTAAGTCTGCGAAAAGAGGGGTTGAAGTTTACTTTATAATTTCTACATTGAGTCTTATGGAGGAATACAACTTCAAACCTCTTTTTCTCAATTTCAACTTGATATGGGTTGGTTCCCCTCTGATAAACTCGGTCCAAATGTCTCCTTTCATTTAGCCAGCTATTGAAGGGTCTTGGTTGCTGAAGGCAATTGTCACCGAAGGGGTCCGATTGGTATTTCCCTTTTTTAAATTGGATCGAGGGAGTGTTCGGTGAACAATACACCAAAGTGGGCTGATGCGTCAGCAATCAATGCATTACTCTCGCTGAAAGAGTGGATTTATAAATATAAACGACTTGGCAGACACTGCAGAGATTAGGGGTGGGGTTCTCAGGAGTAATCATGACTTTCCTCACACTTGGAGTTCATTCACCGAAGACACCTGAATCTCAGTGTTTTTTCGACGAGAATACTGGAGAAGGAGGGAGCAAGAAAGAGTGGATCTTTTCATCACCTCATCTCAACTCTGAATCTTATTCGATAGTTCAATCTATCTCGTTGACTAAGACCCCTATATTAGAGTTTTTTTTATGAGAGTAGGTTTGTCAATTCATTGACAGTGGACACTGAATTATTCGTTCATTCCATGAATATGTGAGGGTCATACCAAAAGTCTTGCGCATTTGGCTCTCATTTCAAAAGTATTAAAGATGAGAAAAATTCGATTATAAGTGCATATGAGGCATACTTTCAGCTCTAATTTAAGCCAAAGTTTTTTTTTTTTAAATCGGATCGACAGGGTGCTCAGGAGCCTCCGATGCGTTTTCCACCGCTTCCAAGCGCGCGATAATTCAGAATTTTCGGAACCCACGTGGCACAAATTCTCTTCCTAATTCCACCATTCACGAACGATTCGATGCAAGACAGGAAGCAAAATCTCAGAAAAATAATCAAGCATTTCTTCAAATGTCATGAGGCAATCTTCCTGTATTAAAGCGTCGACTCGTTACACTAGGTCATATTTCTTGTTTTAATACTTTTGAAATGAGAGCAAATTGCGCAAGACTTTTGGGGTGACTCTTGTAACAAGGAGGGAGAGCATTACGATGGTGTAAGTCGGCAATCACATACCTCGTTTGCGGTGTTTGAAAATCTCCGCCACTATGTTATTTTTTTAAAGGAGAACATATTGACATTATTCCTTGAAGTTTATGCAGAACTTTCTTCGCACTGAGAAGAAAAATCACGGCAGTTATAACGAATTGCTGTTGAGTAATTCTCCATTTAAAAAATAAAGTATGACAGGGAGTCAGTGAAGTCGCAAACCAAGGTATGTGATTGCTGGCTTACACTGTCGATTAGGTCTTCTCATTACCTTATTCACTTAAGTTCCCTGAAACTGAAAGTTTTATGATGATGTACCAGAGAAGGAGGATCTTCTCATCATCTCATTTTCAGTGGATACTGAATTTTGGTATTTCTCATGAATACTTCCACACTTGGAGAGGGAAGAGAGGATTCCCTTTTGGATTGAGGAAAACTGTTTAAAAAGAAGGGGAAAATAATATGATAAAGAAAAAATGAATGAAAATGAAATGAAAAGTAAATCATTTATTGGAGAACAACATAAAATTTAACAGAAAATTCAAAACATCAATTGTCCATCTTTAGTGCTGGGGCAAATCCTCCTTTCCAGGAGACACTTCTCAAGGAAGCGGAGGTGCAGCACAAAATGTAACAATTAAAAGACTGGTTGGCTTTTTTAATAGCACTGAGGCAAATTGCTCACAATTTTTACTTATTCATTTAAAGAAAAATAAAAAAATTCTGAAAATAAAATACTAAAATTGTGATATTATTTTCATACTACAATTTTTGTGATTTACAGAACTAATTCTTGTCCTTATCCTCCACAAATATGTTAAACTTTTAACTCCTACCTAAGGCTTTTAAAAAAAAGTATAACATAAATTGTGGTATGTCTTAGTTGTATGTGTGTTTGTATGTTTCATTGTGTATATTGTTGAGAGAAACCTACATTAATCTTTTAACTGCTCACAATTTTTATTTATTCATTTTTTTTTAAACATTCCTGAAAATAAAATACTGAAATTGTGATATCATTTTCATACTACAATTTTGGTGATTTACTGAACTGATTCCTGTCCTTATCCTCCACAAATATGTTAAATTTTCAACTCCTACCTAAGGCTATTAAAAAAAAGTATAACATAAATTGTGGTATGTCTTCATCTTATGTGTGTTTTTATGTTATATCGTATGTTTCATTGTGTATATGGTCGAGAGCAACCTACATTAATCTCATAATGTAATGTGAGAACGATGCTCGTTCAATTGAACATATTATTTATGATAAACATAGTACATGTGAGTGAACGTGTGTTTCGGATCAAAAATAAAAAAAATACACCCTGGTTGGTTACACGAGCATCCTAGGATGCTTTGTG